AAAGTAACTGATCTCGACCAAGCTGACCTTGCCGCAACTCTGGCGTTCGGCTACGTTGGCCAATGGAAGGTAGTGTCTAGGATAGACGAAATCACTAAAGTGGTCGGCCTATCTACAAGGGCTGTATAGAGCAAAGATTTGTTTAACTGCGTAACCGTATAGCAGAACTGTTGCGTCGCGGCTTAAAATTCAACCATGGAGTAAAATTATACTCATTGTGTGCCGCATGGTGTGGAGGCTAAGACGATTATCAGCGTGTGAGGCAGACCTACACAGTATCTACCTCACCTTCTCCTTCACCTACAATCACTCGGTGGTAAGACAGAGTCAGAAGAACCAGACGCAGGCTCAGGCGTAATGTATGACTAAGTCAACCAGTCTACGCGCGCCACATACGACCTCACACACAATATGCCCTATTTTCACAATAAGGGGACGGCTTAGATATTTTATACTTTAGTGTCATAGAAGTCAAATGCAAAAAAACCATGAGCTTGAATTTTAGCCCTCAAACTAGTCACGCCACTTACTGAAAATGAGAACCGAGTTACTTTCATTTGTCAGCCTTCCAGGCCACGAATTCGAGCACGTGGTAGACTCAAGCGCGTTAGTTTTTTATAGTGAGAAATTCGCGGATATACCAGGGAAATGCAGTTCGCCTTGCTGCTCGATCCCCCTATCCAGTCCCCCATCTCCCCGTCGACTGCCCGAGCCTATTAGCCATCTGGTGCTGCAGCGGCTGACAGAGCTACGGCGGTCCGTCTGCGTATGCCATAAATGACCTGGTTACAAAGTAATACGACATGATACAGCAAAAAACATCTCACGCGCGGGAACTGTGTGTGCTTTAAAGTGCCGTGGCTAGCTTGGATCTCACGTAAGAGCGTCATACAGTCTGCACTAAGAAGGAGGCATTGAACGTAACTATCCGTCCGCTAATCAGTCATCCCTCGTGACTACAGCACCTAGCCCCAATCGACTTGCCACTGGTGTTACTGTAAACCGTGCCTTTCTGTTTGCGCTATGTTTATTCAAAAGAGTGAAGGCTGAACTTTAGTGGAAAGTACGTACTCAATAAAGATACCGGTGCCTTGTAATGAAAGTGATATACTGGGCTGTAGAGCAATTTCTTCCTAATAAGACCTCACTTCCTATGGTCTTGCCGACCCTCCCGAT